TTTTTTTATTTTATTTTTTTTTAATTTTTTTTTTTTTTGAATTTTTTTTTTTTTTGGGGGGGGTGGGGTTCGGAGCCGGAGTTGGGGGTGCCCACCCCCGGACCCCCACCACGGCCTCGGGGCCGGGGCTCGACAACCCTGCAGTGGTATCCGATCAACAGTTCAATACAATAAGCAACTTCACAACTTTGGCCCTCTTTGCTCCTCACTACGCACAATGATGACCAGAGAGTGTCCATGGGAACTTACACATCGAAATATCCGCCGTACGTGAATGTTTACACCTTGTCGTGCGCAGTTTCATCTGTAAATGGACATTGAGTTTGCGAGTTGTGATGAGCATGTGCATGGAAGAAGGATGTCAAATAAGGGTAGCGGTCTGCAATTTGTATCTTCAGGGATGAGTGGGGTTGGAGCCCGCGCAACATTACTGTGACAAAAGGGCAAGGATCTGTTCGGGTCCACGGTGCTGGGGCCCTGCCCGACAACTTGCGAGTTTCTGGACTTGTTTCGTCCACGTCCAAGTTGTCGAGCGGGACGCCCAGCACCGCTGACCGACCCGCCAGCACCCTTGCCGAGAAAAGCTAGGGGTTGCACTGTATATATATATGTCGGAAATGTTGTGTGCAATTTCAAATCAAGCTAGCCTAATAATCGATCGTGAGCACAATAAAATTGGATGCTTGGTTAGGGCGCTGATTTCCATGCGGGCGGATGTATCCCACGCACAAGTTATATACAACAAAAGGAACCACGAATGTGCATGGAAGAGCGATGCGAAATAAGGGCAGGGGTTTGCAAGGTGTAACTTCGAGGATGATAGGGGTTGGGCCCCCCCCGACATCATTGTGGCAAAAGGGTAAGGATATGTCGGGATCGGCGGGACGGAGGCCCTGCCTGACAACTTGGGTTTTCTGGACTCGATCCATTGAAGTCGAAGTTGTCGAGCGGGACGCCCAGCCCCACTGACCAACCCGCCAACATCCTTGTCGAGAACAACTCGGGGTTGCACTGTATATATATGTCGGAAATGTTGAGCGTGCAATTTGAAATCAAGCTAGCCAAATAATCGATCGACAACACAATAAAATTCAATTTGGATGCTTGGCCAGCGTATCGATTTCAATGTAGGGCGGACATATCCCTCGCACAAGTTATGTACCGTGAAAGGAACATTGTGGTTCGTCTCTACGTCTTATCTTATAGATGGGGTATGAAACTTCTCCACAAAATACATTCGCCCTACATCGAAAATGCCTTGAAGGCTGGATTTCAGTATGGCATAAACTATAATTGAGTTTGGATTGGACACTCACTCAAACAAGTTGTTGCTCATCAATTTATCATTCAGGGGGATGCATGCTCTACATAAAAAGCCCCGAAATTCAATACCTGTAACATTTATACGTCATATTTTGCGCATTAAGATCATGGTTATCCATAGTACACTGACCATTTTATTGCTCAGAAAAATCCTTCACATAGGAATTAACGCTGTACCGGAGTGTATTAAGGGTATGATTGTGCTTAGAGGTGTACCTTACATTTCTTTGTTGGATATATCCTTCACATAGGTATTACGGGCGTGCTTGGACGGGAGCTACATTTCACTGCTTAATAAATTGATTTATAAATAGTACACAAAATAATATATTAAATGTACTATTTTAACGAATAACATGTTGTGTGTATCGCTCATATGGACTAAGCCAGCCAAACCATCGAGACGTCAACTCCTCAAACCTCCCCTACCACGACCTGTTTCGTACAACGAGGACAATACGCGTGTCTGTGAGTGATATGTGTGAGAAGTTGTCGCCAAGATAGGTGACCCTTATTACTTCCCTTCCAAGCCACAGTGTTCGGGATTTGATAAATGGTGGTTTTGTGATAGTTTGTATTCACTCCCCCCTTATTATGTCTTACTTCCCTTCAACGAGTTATCGTCATCCCATGGCTGACAGTTGCACCCCACTGGCCTCGTACTCTGTGTAGCGATTGTCGATGCACAGAGCGCTTTCAAGCCAGGGGATTCAACCATTAGACACATGGCGAGGAGGAATACAAGCAAAACGCCGTAAGACTGCGACTCGGACCCTCCCCTCCGACTCGGATTTAGAGCTCTGTGACGAGCGCCGTTGGTCCCTTGTGCAAAACCAACATCCAATGCGCGTTCCCCCTCCTTTCCGACCCAAAATAGGCGTCCCGCCGCGTGCATCGAGGTTCAAGGATACTTTTGGAATTAGTAACCGTTGAGAAAGAGCCTGCTTCCCTAACCTCTCCACCTATTGTTTGTCGCTCCATATATGGGATCATACATAAAATTTTAGTTTTGTTTGTGTCTCGACACCCAATTTTCCAAAACTCTTTGGCACACACCATTTTGCCACTTTTCAAGCCCCTTTTGTACGCTTAATCACTCCGACAAGGAAGCAGAGAAGGGTGTGAGGTTCAGCGTCATAAGTCTGGCCCCCCCTCTGGACCTTTGGCATGTGTATTATCTTTTTATGGGGTGAAGTTAGCGGTACGCATCGACCAATTGTAGGTTTGCCATGAACCTAGCCAGCATGTTTCTGCCCGGGGGGGGATTATGAGGGTCTTGGCTCGCTTGTCCACTAGTGTGCCTGTCCAGTGCGCTGTCCGGTGCTATGTTAAATCCCCCATGAATATTAATGGGATGCAAGTAGGCAGCTCCTGAAATATTTGGTGTAAGAAGTAGACTCTCTCCATTGGGTCGTTTGAGCCATAGAGGCTAACAAGGCTCATTTTTCCCCACTCATAGGATACCCAGAGATATACCCAACGTCCCTCCTGCTTATCATAGTCACATGTGATTGGTGTCAATCTCGTGGTTGGAGGTAGCCAGATTGCCACCCCAGTAGATGCCTCAGACTTTGCTGGGGTTGAGAAGATTGTGTATGGCTAGACTCTACAGTGTTTCACCATGTCTAGTGGAGTATGGAGGAGGTGGGTTTCCTAAATGCACATAGAATCATGACATCCTCCCCGACCCTTGTGTCTTAGAGCATTCCAAACGGCGCCTTTCTTATTTCAATGTCTAGCTGGTCGAGCCTTGATTCCAGGGTGAGCTGGGAAAGGGGGGGGTTTGTCACGGTGATGGCAAGGGATTGTCTGGGGGGGGAATCAAAGCCAGATGCGCTTGTCCTCTTCCCTGGGATTGTTTGTTGGTGTCCTGGTCTCAGACCTGTATGGTGATCGGGGGAATCGTGTACCATGATTTAGAGTGTGTGTTCGGCTTGTACCAACCTCAGGGTATTTGCATGGTTTAACTGCGTTCCCTATAGTAGTAGACAAAAATCAAGAGGCTAACCGACAAAAGACGATGGAGCACCTACGCAGAACAATAATGCAGAGCCCGAGGGATTAGCACACGGCCCATGAACCCCCCCACCACACTGCTCCACTGAATCAGCGTGAGAGGACATCACGCTGGATGCGACCCAACAGTCTTTATCCTGAACAAAAGACCTCCAATCAGAATATCAGAAGATTCTGCCATCCCACCATGTGGGGAATGGTTACAGCACAGGACAACAAATAGGACAATCCACCCAGACCCTCAAACCCCGAGAGCAGGAAAAAGAAGGGGAGGATAGTTTACACGACTGGGCTCAACATATTCTCAACACAAGTATTGGGATGCCTAGCAGACCCAACTGCTATTATACACAAATCAGCAACACAGTGATAGCCTCCGGGAAGCTCAAATCA